TAACCACCCCCCCCACCCCCCCCCCCCCCCCACCCACCCCCAACACCCCCCCACCCCCTCACCCCACCCCCCCCCCCCCTTTTCCCCCCCCCCCCCCCCCCTAACCCACCCCCCCCCCCCCCCCCCCCCCCCCCCCCCCTAACCCCACACCCCCCCTCCCACCCCCCCCCCCCCCCCCCCTCCCCCCCCCCCCCCCCCCCCCCCCCCCCCACCCCCCCCCCCACCCCCCCCCCCCCCCCCCCCACCCCCCCCCCCACCCCCCCCTACCCCCCCCCCCCCCCCACCCACCCACACCCCCCCCCCCCCCCCCCACCCCCCCCCCCCCCCCACCACCCCCCCCCCCCCACGACCGCCACAACATACCAGCACCCCAGCAGCGCCCCCCCACATAGCCCCCCCCCCACCACACAACCCCCACCCCCATCCACCCCCCCCAGCCCAGATCCCCCACCCAGCATCCCTCCCCCCACGCCCCCCCCACCCACCACCCCCATACCCCCCCACCCCCCCCCAGCACCACCCGAATCATCAGCCCCCAGTCCCCCCCCCACCATCCACACCACACCCAGCCAGCCCCCAGCACCCATCCCCCCCACCCCCCCCCCCCACACAGCCACATCCCCACCCCACCACCACCCCACCAGCAGCCCCCATCCCCCCCCAGCCCCCCTCATCACCATGACAGTCCCCACCCCCCCCCAGCCCCCCCAGCACCCCCATCCCCCCCCCCCCCCCCCACACATCCGCCCCCCCCCCCCCTCCCAGCCCCCCCCACAGCCACCCAGCCATCCCCCCCCCCCCACCCCCCACCCCCATCCTCTCCGCACCCCCCCCCCCTCCCCCCCCCCCCCCCCCCCCCACCCCCCCCACATCCACTCCATCCCCCCCCCCCCCCCCCCACCCCCCCATCCAGCCCCCAGTCCCCCCCCAGCCCCCCACATGCCCCAGCCCCCCCCCACCCCCCCCCCCCCCCCAGTCCCCCACACCCCCCCCCCCCCCCCCCCCCCCCCCACATATATCATCCCACCACCGCCACCCAGACACCCCCCCCCCCCCCCAGCACATCCCCCCCAGCCCCCCCCCACCCCCCCCCACCCCACCAGCCCCACCCGCCCCTCCCCCCCCCCCCCCCCCCCCCCACCGCAGCCCCCCACCCCAACCCCCCCCCCACACCCTCCATCCATCTAGACAGCCACAGAATAAGCCATCACCCCCCACCCCAGAGTCACACCCCAGCCCCACCCCCGAGCCACCCACCCCCCCGCCAGACCCATACCCACCCAGCCCCATCCCCACCCCCCACACACACCCCCGCCCCCCCCCCCCCCCCCTCCCGCCCCCCCCAGACCCAACCCCACCCCCACCCCCATCCCCCCCCCACCCTCCCCCCCACCCCCACCCCCCCCCCCCCCCCCCAGCCCAGGCCCCGCCCCCCCCCAGCCCCCCCAGCCAGCTAGCCCCAGGCCCCCAGCCCCACCCCGAGCCCACCCACCAGCCATCCACCAGCACCCCCCCCCCCCCAGCCTGCCCCTCCACCCCCCCCCCAGGCCCAGCGCCCCACCCCACCCACACCCCCCCCCCAGCACCCCGCAGCCCACCCCAGCCCCAGCAGCTCCCCCCCACCCCCCCCACCTCGCCCCCCCCTCCAGACCAGCCCCCCAGCCCCCCCCCACCCCACACAGCCCACCCCCAGCACACCCACAGAGCCCCACCCCTCACCCAGCCCACAGCCCCCAAGCCCCCACCAAAGCCCCAGCCCCCCCCCCCCCAGACAGCCCCCCCCCCCCCCCCCAGCCCCTCCCGCACACCACCCACCCCACCCCCACACCCGAGCCCCAGCACCCCCCCACGCCAGCCAGTCCCCCCCAACCCCAGCAGCCACCACGCCCCCCCACAGCCCCCCCCCTCCCCCCACCGCCACCCCCACCCCCCAGCCCCCACAGCACCCACCCCACCCCCCCAGCCCCCCCCCATCCACCCCAGCCCACCACCCCCCAGCCCCATCCACCCCGCCAGCCACCCTCATCCACCCCCCCCACCACCCCCCTCCAGGCCACCCCCCCCCCCCCCCCCACCCCCCCACCCCCCAGCCCCCCCCCAGCACCCACCAGCCCTCCCCCCCACCCCCCCACCTCCCCCCGAGCCCCCCCCCCCCCACAGCAGCCCCCCCCCCCCCCAGAGCCCCAGCAGCCCCACCCCCAGCACCCAGCAGCCCCCACCGCCCGCACCCCCAGCACCCCCACGCCAGCCACCCCCCCAGCACCCCCCACACCCCCCAGCCCACCCCAGCCCCCCCCACCCCATCAGCCCAGCCACCTCCCCACCCCCCAGCCCCCCCCCCACCCCAGCCCCCCCCCCCCCCCAGCCACACCAGCACGCCCCCCCAGCCCCCCCCCCCATCCCACAATCCCAGCCCCCCCCCCCCCCCCACCAGCCAGCAGACACCCCCCCCCCCCACCACACGCCCCCACCATCACACCAGCCAACCCCCCCCCCCCCCCCCCGCACCAGCCCCACCCCCACCCCCGCCCCACCCAGCCCCCCCCCCAGCAGCGCCCACACACCCCCCAGCCAGCCCCCCAGCCCCCATCGCAGAGCCAGCCCCCCCCCAGCGAGCATCCACCCCCCCAGCACCCCCCCCCCCACCCCCCTCAGCACCCCCCCAGCCCAAAGCCCCCCCCCCCACCCCCCCCCCAGCACCCCCCCGCCCAGCCCCCACCAGCCCCCCCCAGCCCCCCCCCCCCACCCAGCACCACAGCCCCCTCCCAGCCCCCCTCCAAGCAGCCCCAAGTCGCCCCCCAGCCACCACACCACCCCATCCCCCGCCCCCCCCCCATAGCATCCCCCCCCCAGCCCACCCCCACCCCCCAGCCCCCCCCATCAGCCCCCTCCTCCCCCCCCACCCCCCCACCAGCCCCCAGCCCCCAGCCAGCCAGCCCTCTAGCCCAGCCCCCCCAGCCCCGCCCGCCCCCCAGCCCAGCCCCCAGCCCTAGTACCCCCACCCTCCACAGCCCCCCCAGTCCCCCCCACCCCCCACCACCCCACCCAAAGCGCCAAGCCACCCCCATGCCCCCCACCCGCAGCTTCAGCAGCACCACCCCACCGCCAGCACCCAGCAGCCAGCCACCCCCCAGAGGCAGGCCCCCCGCAGCAAGCCCCCGCCCCCATCCCCCCAGCCCCACCCCACCACCCCACACTCACCAGCCAGCCCCCACCACCGGCCCCCAGCCCCCAGACCCCCCCCCATCCCAGTCACCCCCCCCCCGCCCCCCAGCCCCTCCCCCCAGCCACCCCCCCCCGAGACACTCCCCCCTCCCCCCCCACAGGCAGACCCCCCTCCCCCCCACAGCACAGCCCCCTACCTCCCACCGCCAGCCCCCCACCCCCCCCCCCCCACACCGCCCCCCACCAGCCCCCCCCCCACAGCCACACCCCCCACAGCCCCCCCCCCCCCAAGCCATGCCAGCTCCACCCCCCCCAGCACCGCCCCCCCCTAGCTCTACCAGCCCATCCCCCCCCCACCCCCCCACCCCCAGCACCCGCAGCCAGCCCGGCACATCACCCCACCACGCCCCCAGCTCCAGCCCCCCAGCAGCCCCCCACCCCCCCCCCCCCCCAGGCCCCCCCCCCAACCCCCCCCCCGCCCACCCCCCCCCCCCACCACCCCCCACCCCCAGCCAGTCCCACCCACAGCCACACGCCCCACCAGCCCCCCCCCCCCAGCAACAGCCCCTCCCCAGCCCCAGCAGCTTAGAGCCCCCATCTCAGCCCAACCCCCCCCACCAGCCCATCCCAGCCCCACCCCACCTCCACCCCCAGCCAGCCCTCCCAGCCCCCAGCCCCCAACAGCCACCCACCCCCCCCCCCCCCCCCCCCCCCCCCCCCCCCCACCACCCCACCCCAGCCCAGCACACACACCCGCCCCCAGCCCCACCCCCCCCCCAGCCCCACCCAGCAGGGAGCCCAGACAGCCAACAACCCACCCCCCCACCCTCCCCCCCCCCCCACCCATGCCCCCACACCCCCTACCCCACCCCCCCCCAGCCCCCTCCCACCACACCGCCCAGCACCCCCCAGCCCCAGGCCCCCGAGGCACCCCCCAACCCCAGCAGCCCCAGCAGCATGCACCCCACCCCCCCAGCCCCCCCCCACCCCCACCCCCCACAGCCCCCCCACCCACCAACACCCCCCCAGCCACCCCCCCCCCCCCCCCACCCCCCCCCCAGCCCCCCCCCCCCCCCCCCCCCACCAGCTGCCCCCCCACCCCCCAGCAGCAGCCCCCCCCCGCCCACCCCCAGCCAGGTGACGCCCCCCACCCCCCCCCCCCCCCCAGCACCCCACCCGACCCCCAGCACCACCCCCCCACCCCCTTCCGCGCAGCCCCCCCCCCCCCCACACCCCCCCAGCCCCCCCACCCCCAGCCCCCCCAGGCCCAGCCCCCCCCCGACACCCCCCCTCCCCCCCACCCCCCAGCCATCCCCACCCCCGCCCCACCCCCAGCCCCGCCAGCACACCAGACCAGCCCCCGCCCCACCACCACAGCCCAGCCCCCCCTCCCCAGCAACCCCCAGCCCACCAGCCCGAGCACCCCCCCCCAGCACCCCAACCGCAGCCCCTCAGCCAACCACCATCCCGCCACCACCAACAGAAGCAGATCACGCACCCCCCCACCCACCAGCCCCGCCCCACCCCATCACCTAGCCAGCGCCCCCATCCCCCCCCCAGCACAGCATCCCCCCACCAACCCCCCCCATCCCCACCCCCCCCCTAGAGCACCCCACCCCAGCCCTCCTACCCCCCCAGACCCCACCAAGCCGCCAACCCCCCCCCCCCCACCCCCCCCCCCCCACACCCCCCCCCAGAGCCCCAGCACCCCCAACTCAGACCCCACAGTCCACCTCCCCACCCCCACACCAGCCACCCATCACCCCCCCCCCACCAGCCCACACCACACCCCAGCAGACCCCCCCCCCCCCCCCCCAGCCAGCACGCCACCCACCCCACATCCCAAGCCCCCCAACCCCACCCCCCCCAGCCCCAGCCCCCCCCACAGTCCCCCCCCCAGCCCCACCACCCCCCCCCTCCCCCCCAGCCCCCCCCCCCCCCCCCCCCCCCGCCCCCCACCCCCCACCACCCCAGCCCCCCACCCCCCCCCCCACCCCCCCCCCCCCCCCCCCCCACCACCCCACCGATCCCAGCCCACACCCCCCCAACCCAGCCCGACCCCCCCCCCAACCCCACAGCAGCCCCCCTCCCCCCCACCCAGCACCCCACCCCCCCCCCCCCCACCCCCCCCCCCCCGCCCCCACCAGCCCCCCCACCCCCCCACCCCCCGCTCCCAGCTCGACCCCCGCCAGCCCCAGCCAGCCACCACCCCCACCCCCCCCAGCCCCCCCCCCCCCCAGCCCCAGCACCCCACATCCCAGGCACCCCAGCCACCCCACCCCCAGCCCACCCGCCACCACCACCAGCAGCCCCAGCACCCCACCCCCACCCCCCCCCCCCAGAGCTAGCCCCCCACACCCCCCCCCCCCCCCCCCCCCCCCCCCCAGCCCCCCCCCCCACCAGCCCGACCAGCCCCCCCCCCCCAGCCCAGTACCCACAGCCAGACACCCACCCCCTCCCCCCCCCCCCAGCCACCACCCCCACCAGCACCCCCACCCAGCCCCCCCAGCCCATCAGCACCACCCAGATCCCCCCCCCCCCCCCCCCCCACCCCCACACCCAGCCCCCAGCCACCCAGCCCCCCCCCCCCCCCCACCCCCCTCAGCCCCAGCCCACCCATCCCCCCCAAGGCACCCCAAACCCCCCACCCCCAGCCAGCCCACACCCAGCCCCCCACAGCCAGCAGCCCTCCCCCGGCCCCCCCCAGAACCCCCATCACCCCCAGCCCAGCAGCAGCCCCCCCCCCCCAACCGCCCCCCCCCCCTCCCAACCAGACAGCCCCCCCCCCCCCCCAGCACCCCCCACCCAGCCCCCCCCCAGCCCCACCCCCCCCCCCCCCACCCCCAGGCCCCCGGGCATGACCCCAGCCCCCCACATCCCCCCCCCCCCCCCAGCCCCCCCCAGACAGCCCCCCTCCCCCATCCCATCACGCCCCCCCCCCCAGCCCCCCACAGCCCACCCCTCCAGCCCCAGAGGCGCCGCCCCACCAGCCCCCCCCACCAGCCACAGCCCGCCCAACCCCCACACCACCCCCCCCCACGTGAGGCTGCAGACCCTCAGCCCCCACCCCCAGCGCCCAGCCCCCCCCCCCCCAACACCCCCCCCCCCCCGCCCCCCATCCCACATCACCCCCGCCCCCCCACCCCACCCCCCCCCACCCCCCACACCCCCGCCCCCACCCCCCCCCCGCATTCACCAACCCGTCCACCCGCCTCCCATGCCCCCCCCCCCCCCACCCCCCAGCCCGCCCAGCCCCCCCCCCCAGCACCCCGCAGGACCCCCCCCCCCCCCCTAGCCACCCAGCACCCCCACCACCCCCACCCCCACACCACCCACACACCCCACCCCCACACACAGCCCCCCCCCACCCGGACAGAGCCCACCCCCCCCCCAGCCCCCCAGCCCCCCAGCCCCCCCCACCCCCCCCAGCCACCCCCCCAGCCCCCCACCCACCCCCCCCCCCACCCCCCCCCCCCCGCCACCCCCACCGCCACAGCCCTAGAGCAGCCCCCCATCCAGCCACCCCCCCCCCACCCCCGCCCCTACAGCCCCCCACCCCAGCCCCCGAGCCCCCCCCCCCGCAGCCCCCCATCCCCCCCAAGCCCAGCATCCCCCCCCACCCCCCCCAGCAGCCCCCCCCACCATAGCCCCCCCACACGCCAGCCCAGCCACATCACCCCCCCAGCCCCCCCCCACCAGCCCCCCCCACACACCCCATCCCCCCCAGCCAGACCCCCAGCCCCCCCCCACCCCCCCACCCCCCCCCCCAGCCCGCCAGCCCCCACCCCCCCCCCAGCCCAGCCCCCCACCACACCCACCATCCAGCCACCCCCTACAGTCCCCCAGCCGACACCAGCCCCCCGCCCCCCCCCCCCACACACACCCCACCCCCCCAGCCCCCCCCGCACTCCAGCAGTTCCCCCCAGCCCACCACACCCCCCCCAGCCCGCCCAGCCACCAGCCCCCCCCCCCCCACCCCAGTCCAGCACCCCACCACCCAAGAGCCCCCACCCTCCAACCCCCCCCCGGCCCCCCCATCCACAGCCCACCCACCCCTCCACCACACCAGCCCAGCCCTCAGCCCCCAGCCCCCCACCCAGCCAGCCCACGCACCCCACCATCC